TTGTCCACACCTTAAAGAGTTTATAAATGTGTTTAATATAAGATGACAGATAGAAAAAAAACCTACAGTTTCTACATACCCATTATTTAAATGTAAAAGTAGGGTCAATAGGAAGAAGGAATAAAACCTGAAGGAAAACTTCTATAGATATGCAAAGATACATCTATCAATTTGGGTTCACTTAAAACTGTCTTGCAATGTATATTCAGCTTTATTCCACAGCTTTCCTGGATTTGTATCTGTTTGGGAATCCATAGATTTAAACAAAATTTAAAATTGATGACATACCTTCAATAAAAAGCTAATTATTATGTGGAGAAGTGCCTTAGTACTTATCATCCCATGGATTTTCTCATGTTTCTCTATTCCTACCTCTTACATTAGATAACTGTTTTTCTGTCATTGGCTGGTCCAGTCCAGACAGGGTGAAGGCACTTCTGTCACGTTATCTGACTATCAAATCAAATCTCTTTTCATTGCCTAACATAACAAGATACATATTCTGTCATCTGGATGAACATTTTTTGTGTTGCCAACTACTCTTTAATTTTTTTTAAAGTTAATCAACAAAATTAATCCTTTATGAACAATATGTACATTATTACATTTAAAATATGTTCTTAATATCTACATTACAATTTTCATGTTAAACCAGAATTAAGATTGATTAGATACAAATTCATCAGTTTCTGACCTGAGCCTTCATGCAGTATAAAAAGCAAGATACCAAGAAGATGAATGCCAGCAGTTGGCTCAAATGTCAATTTTAATTAAGACCTGTTTTCAAAAGCAAGTCAGTTTGAAGGTGGACTCTGCTATTGCTGTGCATGACGCATGGATTCTGCTTTCTTTTATGTAAGATATGAAAATAATGTTTAGTGTTGTTGGCTGCAAAAGTGTACTGTAAGTGTTTGTTAAAACTGAAAATGATTTTTTTCATGTTTTTCAGACAATAAACTATAGTATTTGATAAAAAAATAATGCTTACACTGTAGATATTTTTAATGCAAAAACATTCTATGCAGTATACTCTTTGTAAAATTATTTTGAACACACTGAACATCTGTACTGTTACAGGTTTAAACCAGTTTCTGATCACTTAAACCAGTTTATGTGTAATGTCTGTCCCTAACCAAACTGATTTAAACCTGTAACAGAACAGATGTTCAGTGCACATAAACAGTTTGAAAATGTATAAGATTAAGATATTTCCTTAATACACAGAGCAAAGACTTGGCCCTGGCTGGCCACATGTGAAGTGGAAAATGAGATCTACATTTTAGGCTATAAGAACGCATGTCCATTTTCTCTGGAAGAAGAAGGTAGTGAAAAGGTGTCTGAGTCCTAATTTCTTCCTGAGGCAATTCAATTAAACACTGCTGCTTACTCAGCAATGAGCCTAAAGGTTTAAGGTCTTTATTCCTAATAATGTATTCAGAGAGCAATATGCATGAGAATCTGTAGTAATCTAAGGCCACCCACAATGTTCTAGAAACAGAATATTCTCTAAAATACTTTATTTCTGAGGAAAATACCTATTGTCAAGGCTATTAAGATGAGTAAGAAAGGTGCCTGATTGTCTTCGTTATTAGTTTTGATAGATGTTCAGTGTTTCAGGCAACATCAAGAAATGCTGGGTCAGTTTATTACCTGGTCTGTCAGATTAGCTCACTTAATGGAGTACTGCGTCCAGTTTTGGGCTCCATAATTCAAAAAGGATGTGGAGAAGCTTGAGAGAGTCCAGAGAAGAGCCATGCGCATGATCAGAGGTCAGGGAAGCAGACCCTATGATGACAGGCTGAGAGCCCTGGGGCTCTTTAGCCTGGAAAAGCGCAGGCTCAGGGGTGATCTGATGGCCATCTACAAGTTTATCAGGGGTGACCACCAGTATCTAGGGGAACGTTTGTTCACCAGAGCGCCCCAAGGGATGACGACTAGGTCGAACGGTCATAAACTACTACAAGACCATTTCAGGCTGGACATAAGGAAGAATTTCTTTACTGTCTGAGCCCCCAAGGTCTGGAACAGCCTGCCACCGGAGGTGGTTCAAGCGCCTACATTGAACACCTTCAAGAGCAAACTGGATGCTTATGTTGCTGGGATCCTATGACCCCAGCTGACTTCCTGCCCCTTGGGCAGGGGGCTGGACTCGATGATCTTCTGAGGTCCCTTCCAGCCCTAATGTCTATGAATCTATGAAATTCAGTCAAACTTTGCTGATTCATACCACTGGAGGAACTGGCCCACTATATGCAGCCAGCCCAAACATTAGGGCTAGGGACAGACATTTAAAAATCCTGAGCCTGAATTGATTCAATCTTTACAGGTTAGTCTAACCTGGCTAGGCTGAATCAGCTTGTAACCGGACAGACATTCTTTCTGGACTGAGGAAATTCAGGCACATACTAGAAGTTGGGGGCTGCTAGAGCAGCCCTCCTTTCCCTAGAACAGAGCTAAGCTGAGGGGGGTGAGGCCAGGCCCTGGAAGGATGCTTAAATTAGGGAGGTCTGCCTGCACCATCCTAGGCTTTTCCCTGCTGGCTGCTCAAGGGGCGGGAGTGTTGCCAGCCCCCAGCCCCCTGCTAGCACTCTGAGGCAAGGTGTGGGGAGGTTGCAGATATGCACCTTTTCATTCTTCCTCCCTGCTTCTGAATACGGTCTGCAGCAAACTGACATGCAAGCAAGCCAGCAGGGGGATGATAAGTGTTTATCACCCCATCAGTAAAAATAGCCTCTCTCCATTAGTTCAAACTCTTCTTAAACAGCTTACCAGCTGGCCTGTTGATTAGCTCCAAAAAGCCCTAAGCGGTCATTGTTCTGTCTGCCTGTCCCAGTGAAATTGTAGACACACACAGACCCCACTTGGCATTAGTTAGCATACCACATGCCTAGGATCAATGGGACTGGGGTCTGGTCTGTGGGAGATAGGAGGGAGGGAGGGGCAATTCCTACTGGGGGGGGTAGGGCAGGGGGAAGCCAGGCAGATCTGGCTGTGCCTGCAGTCTCTGCCAGAGCTCCAGTCAGGGAGCAGAGGGGAGGGGCCAGCTCTGCTGTGGAGCAGAGAGCCCAGTCCAGCCCAGAGAGCATGCTGGATGGCTGGGAGAGTCTGGTTTATCTTAAACCAGCAAGAGGTCTGGGATAGACATTGCATAAACTGGCTTGACCCAAATCAGTTAAGTCTGATACTACATTCAACCTGGTTTATCTCAAACTGGTTGCAGCCATTTTCAAACTGGTTTATGTGCACTGAACATCTGTTCTCTTACAGGTTTAAACCAGTTTCTGATCACTTAAACTGGTTTATGTGTATTGTCCGTCCCTAGCCTGGAAGGGTCTGAAAGTGCTTTGCTTCTCTTATCTGATCTCCTACTGATATAACATAGAATTTGTGGGTAAGGCAGGGATTAATAACCAAGCAAGGGTGAGTTTTGAAATTCTACCCACACAGATGGCTCTGACCTAGATGGCTACCAAGATGCATAAATTCCCATGCATAGGAAAGATGCACAGAAGATTCTGAGTTCCTTAGTTAAGTTCCTAAATCCTTACTTAAGCACTTTTAATAGGGTTCCTTTTTCACAGGTTAAGAGCACATACACACTTTAGTAATTTTTAATTAAAAGTCCCAGCACCTCTGAATTCAGAATATTTAGGTTTCTAATAGGAGCTATGTTGGTGTGTGAAATTATGATTATATGTGTACAGCAAAGGAGCAGTGGTAGACACCCTGCACAGGAGGTACCTGACTAGATTACTGAACTGAAACACATGAAACTTTTCTTGTCCTCCCATCTCCTATATCCCTGAATAGAGAAAACAATTGATATTACATAATTTAATTTTGTTTTAAATCAGGAAATATGTTCCATTCACTAAGTAAATTCAGACCACAGTATGGCTCAGGAATTTATTAACTGCAATCTCTGCAACCTGCCTGCACAGGCCTCATTTCATTATTGCTCCATCATCCAGTTCATTGCTGCTCTCACAACTGCAATGGCTCAGATGACAGTAACTGCATGCAGTGCTTTGTCAGGAGCAAAGAAGCTGAGATATGAAAGGTGCCAGAATTTTATTTTATTGGAGGGTTTCACTTAATGAAATATATTTACAAAGTATACCTGCTTTCCTCAATGCCCCACCTCATCAAGCCAAACAAATTTTTGGAAAAATATAACCATACACCTCTGACTTCATAATACTTCATAAAAAACTTTCTAATTGCATTTGGTACTCTTTTCTGTGGTCTGGATTAGTCACTGTGGGCATCTGTAAATGTGCTCCAGGATTGGGAGGGTGTTGTAATTAAAGCATCTCTCAGGAGCTCTAATTAAAATGCCCGCAGCATCTGGTGTATGCAGCATCCCGCACTTCAAAATGGTGGTAGGGGCGCATTGAAGCTTGTTCAACGAGCTTTAGAGTGCCCCCACCACCATTTTGAAGAGTGGGGATGCTTCATACATGTGACGCCGAGGCTGCTGGAGTGTGTTAATTAGCATGCTGCAGCAGACTCAATTAATCAAGTTTGCTCTGACATGTTCTAATTAGAATGCATCAGAGTAGGTATCAGGCATGTGTATAGGTGCCTTGTAGGTCAGATTCAGAATAGCCTAGGAGGCCAGGGCTATGTTTTCTACTTCAGGAATTTTTTGCATAAAGTTCAGCCCTTTCATACAACATCTGCTTTTTTAATCTTGTAGGCTTTTCTTAAATCTTGCTCCATTTTGAAAGTGAACATACAAACTGATCATATATTGCCTCCTAGCTACCATACAGCAAAGCTATCTGAACATATAGAAATTATAGGTGCCTATACACAAGCCGAGAGGCTGCTCTGATGTGCTGTAATTACAGCATGTCAGAGGAGACTCAATTAATCAAGTCTGCTGAAGTGTGGTAGTTATCATGCTCCAGCCAGCCTCTGTCTCTTGTGTATCAATTTCCCCGTGCTTCAAAATGGTGGTGGGGGCCCTTTAACTAAAGCTTATTCAATGAGCCTTAGATAAAGTGCTCCTACCACCTTTTTAAAGTGTGGGGCCTTGAGCTGCTCTAATTAAAGGCTCCCCCTCCCCCTGCAACACCTGCATCACATGTAAAAATGTCCTATAGTACTAATCTTTAGCAAAGCTTATACAAATATCATGGGCGACTGGTGCCACCTTAGTGAAGGGAAGCATGGGCTCCCCCCAGCAACCAGTCAGTGACTGGGGGGGTCCCCCTGCATGCGGCTGGTCTCGCTGACTGGGGGGGGTGATGTCCCACCAAGGCCAATATCACCGACCCAGGGGTGTGTGCGTCCCCGTGGGTAATCAAGGCGACTGGGAAGCAGCCACACCACTCCCGGAAGTGGCTGCACCACTTCATCCGGCACTCCCACTCCCTGGCCAGTGCTCACAGGGGGGGCATCAGCATTCCCGCCTGCCCCCCCTGCACATTACCTAAGCAGAGAGTGCGGCCTCTCAGGGGGTGCACCAGTGCTCTCAGGGGGTGCACATTTACCCCCGCGCACCCCCTATGCATTGCCACTGACAAATATTATATTGGTATCTATACCTTTAGCATCAAATATGCTAAAGGAAGAAAAAGCACAATAATTGGTTCCTGGCAACAACCTTTTGATTGTATTTTTATTTTGTATTGTAAAAGTCCTAGTGACAGAATGAAATGTTTATTTGCATAGTTCCTCCCAATACCTCTCAACAGATTGTAGAAAAAAATGCCACAGAAATCATGCCTCTGATACAGAATATTTGCATAATTTAGACAGAACCATGAATGAATGCCTTTCTGAAAAGAACTGGCTGATTATAAACAATCATTTGTGATTCATAACAACAATAAAAAAGCTTTCACATTCTAAATGATAAAGTAGAAGGCAGATAACATTTTTATGCAAAACACATTTTTCTAGATAGTTGCCTTTTAAAGAAAAAAGTGCTTCAGTGAGATTTTGCTGGCATGTCTTTTTATCTTAGTGTAAACAAGGATATTCCAAAAGGATACATTCTCAGGAAACTAAGAAGCCAAAATGTCCTATATGTTAATTTTTTTTGCAATTCAGTAAAATATTAAGCACTTAGCATTAATGTTCCCTTTTTCCTCCACCTACAAAAGTGAAATGAACGTATGATTATTCTGTGAGAACTTATTTAGGTACCACACTACCAGAAAACCAGTAAATTATAAAATAAAAATTTTTAGAATTTAAATAATTCTAAATAATGACAGCCCTTTGATTAGTTTTTGTTCTTGCAATTACACAGGCCAATGCTTATCTTCTAGAAGAGTATATTGAAAAAGTTTTTTTCTTATATTATCCAAAGCTTGCTTCAGGTATGAAAAAAATGGTTCCATTGGGATAAAATTTCTTGAATATGAATATCTGCTTAATTTACTTTCATTGTCACAATAAATAGTCCTTTTAAAAATGATAGAGGTGTAATCTTCTCCACAATGTATTTTATTAGACAATAGCACCATCTGCTGGTCTCTGCAATCACTTTAAACTTTAGAAAAAGCTGTGCAGAGTGAGCCAGCTAAAATGATAACGAATGCTACTATGAGTAACAAATAGTTTTTCCATCCCTGTATGGCCAAAGAGAGAGAAAAGAAAAATACAATGAATATCTGTTAAAAACAAAACACAACATCCCCTACCACCTCAAAGTAAAATTTAATAGGATGCACAGTAGATTGCATGAATGAATGAGTTTTCTGGAATGTCATGTTTTCAGAAGCAAGTTTTAAAATGTTCACAGAAGTTATTTCTAGACACACATTATTTAACTAATTTAAAAGAAAAACCAGACTTCTCATCCTGTTGAACCTATGTCTATTCAAACTCCACTCAAATGTACCTCAAGTAAAGTTTATGAAGTTATTGAAGTCCCAGTAGGTCCCAGTAGGTCTGCACAGACTACCCAATCAACTGCTTTGAACAATTCACAGAATTATTATAGGATAGATAGCATCATGAACCTACAATATTTGGAGGTCTTTGTGGAAGGCATGCATGTTTTCTTCAGTTTCATTGACTGATATGGCATGCGCTGTCTCTACATATAGGTAGAGGCATACATACATAATTATTATGTCTGTATGAATTGTGGTATTTGACATGAATGTAATTTTTGTTTCATACTGTGTTCAAGACTGTTTAGTAGAGCACTTATTAACTTAAGCAATCCTCACTTATTCACACTTGAGGGAAATAATTGTGAAGACTTAGCATCTGACATATGTATGTTTAATAACCAGTCAAATGGACTCTTTTGGATGTTGTCTAAGGCAGTGGTTCTCAACCTTTTTTTGTACCAGGGCCCACTTGTAGACATCAATGACCAATCCTGACACAGTGCCCCTCACTCCTGACCTGCTGCCTCCCGCCCTGAGCCACCTAGTGTGTGGGGCAGGGGTGGGTGTGTGGGGCAAGAGGGGCATGCGTGGGTCATGGGGGGCCCCAAACAGCCCCTTGCAAGCTAGAACTCTTGCCAGCCGACAAGGGAAAAGCCACTGTTTCCCACCTTTTTCTCATTTAAAAGAGAATTTTTAAAGTTTGTTCATGACCCTTTCATATATTCTTGCGACACACTTTTGGGTTCAAGAAATGCTGGTCTAAGGCTCTTGAGTTAGGCCCTTTGAGATAATGATGAATTTATATTTTAAATGTAAATGCCCCCTGTAGTCCAGGGGGCAGTAAATTATATGCGCAGTATGGGCTCCCTAAGGATCTGAAGCAGGGGTTGTCAACCGGGGGTACCCCTGGGAGTACTTGAACCAGCCGTAGGAGGTGTGTGCGGGAAGGCAGGGATGGAGTGCTGCCAGGGCAGGGAAGCTTGCACATGGCCACACACCAGCCCAGTGAGCTTCCCCACCCCACAGAGGGGCGCCACTGCCCTTAACCCAGCCCAGTGAGCTTCTCCGCCCTCACTCTGCTCCTGGGAGGCAGCAGCGCTCCATCCCCACCTGCTGGCATGCTGTCCCCACCTCACCCCTTTGCATCCGACCATGCGCTTCCTCCCCCACCTCATTCTCGGCATCTGGCCACTGGGGTACTCAGACTCAAAAAGGTTGAAAACCCCTGATTTAAAGGATAATGATTCTAATGGCCAGATAAGAAACTGTCCTTAAACCTTTCCGTGAGAGCAAGTGTTCGTTTTTAGGTATTTTTTTTCTGGGCATAGGATATGGGCTGAGTGAAACAGGCTGATGGAAGGTGGGAGGCAGGAGCTGCTTTCTAACCTGCTGGAGCTGCACAAAAGCTTCATTCTCAAATGCAGGGTCAGGTGAGGCTATTGCTTTTTTCTTTCATTTGAAAGGCACAGGAGGAACACCAGCCCACCAACGGCTTGCACCAACCTAGTAAAAGGACACTTGGAGGGGCTGAATGTGTTTAAGATAGCAGGCCTGGATGATCTTCATCCAAGGGTGCTGAAGAAATTGTCCAGTATCATAGCAGAGCAACTGGCATGGCTGACTGAGTGCTCATGGTGCTCAGGTCAGGTCCCAGAGGACTGGAAAAGGGCCAATGTGGTCCCTATTTTCAAGAAGGGGAGGAAGGAGGATCCAAGTAATTATATAGGCTGGTTAGTCTCACCTCTATCCTTGGGAAAACCTTTGAAAAAATTATCAAGAATCACATTTGTGGGAGACCAACAGGAAAAATAATGCTGAAGGGCAGCCAGCACAGGTTCATAGCAGGTAAATCCTGCCTGACTAAACTTATTTCTTTTTATGACCAGGTCACAAAATGCTTAGATGCAGGAGTCGAGGTAGATGTCATCTACTTGGATTTTAAGAAGGCCTTTGATACAGTGTCTCATCCTATTCTCATAAACAAACTGAGCAGCTGTGACAGATGATTACACAGTCAGGTGGGTGGCAAATTGGCTTAAGGGTCACCCCCAGAGAGTGGTGGTGGGCAGGTCGGTATCGACCTGGAAAGATGTGGGCAGTGGGGTCCCCCAAAGCTCGGTCCTTGGACCTATGCTATTCAGTGTCTTCATCAGCAACTTGGATGAGGGCGTAGAGAGCATTCTGTCCAAATTCGTGGATGACACAAAATTATGGGGTAAAGTTAACACACTAATGTGAAGGGATCGAATCCAGGTGGGCCTAGAAAGGGTGGAAAAGTGGGCAGAAAAGAATAGGATGCAGTTCAACAAAGACAAATGCAAACTGCTGCATCATGGGAGAAGGAATTACCAACACACCTATAGGCTAGGAGATGACTTTTTCAGCAGCACAACACAGTCATAGTTGACTCCAAGATGAATATGAGCTATCAATGTGATGAAGTAATCAGTAAAGCTAACCACACTCTATCATGCATTAGCAGGTGCATCACAAACAGGTCCAAGGAGGTAATACTTCCCCTCTATGTGGCATTGGTGAGGCCGCAGTTGGAGTACTGTGTCCAGTTCTGGGTGCCACACTTCAAGAGGGATGTGAATAACTTTGAGAGGGTCCAGAGGAGGGCCACTCATATGGTTAGGGGCCTGCAGGTAAGGCCTTACAAGGAGAGACTAAGGGACCCGGATCAGTTCAGCCTCCACAAGAGAAGGTTGAGAGGGGATCTTGCGGTCATTTACAAATTCATTGGGGGGGGTGGGGAGGGGGTCAGCAAGAAATTGAAGATACTCTGTTTACCAGGGCACCCCTTGGAATAACCAGGAACAATGACCACAAACTGACAGAGTGCAGATTCAGGTTGGACATCAGGAAGAACTTCTTTATGGTAAGGGTTGCCAGAATCTGGAATGGACTTCCAAGGGAGGTGGTACTCTCCCCTACCTTGCGGGTATTTAAGAGGAGACTGTACAAGCATCTGGCTGGGGTCATATGACCCCAGCGCTCTTTCCTGCCCAGGGCAGGGGGTCGGACTTGATGATCTATTGAGGTCCCTTCCAACCCTAACAACTATGAAACTATTTGTTTGTTCCTATAACTCTGTATCTCAATGTATGGTTACTGATGTCTTACTTTTGCTCTTGTTTTTAAATAACTCTTTTTGTTATATTTTATATTTTACTATTGTCAATGGCAAAAGTGATTTCAGAGCGTTTATCATAAAGGCAGGCCTCTTCCCAAGAAGGACGATCTATGATCTCTGAGCACGTAACTGGACATAGGAGTGATTCTTCTAGCTGGCAAAATCCCCTCTGCTAAGAGCTGGTGAGATCTGGGTGAAGCAGCTAAAGCTGAGGTGCCATGAGTCAGAGAAGTGACCTTTGGAGCACCTCAGTTTGTTCTCAGTGGTCAAGCAGCAGATGGCAGAAAAGGATTGGGGCTGAAGGGCAACCCTGAAGATGTGAGAACACCCTAGGAGTGTGTCTTAAAGGCACATCAGACCGCATCCAAGGTCAGGTTGTCACAGATAGCTTTTGTGAATTACTCCTATATTGCAAATATTTGGACATATCTCCTGAGGATATTCAACTGACTTGCAGATAATTCTCAAATGGGGAAAGAGATGCTTGTGAGGTGAGAGGCGTTGGTTTTAAAGTCGTCAGATACAGTAGGAAATTGGGCCTGATGCCCTACATCCTGGTCCAGTGCTTTTACTATCAGGCTACTGCATACATTCATATACAGAATGAGAACCTTAGATGCTTAGATCATTGAACTGGCAAAAACCGAGTTGTTTATAGTTGTTAGGGGCATATAAAGTTAGGTGGGGGGTTTTAGCATCACTCTCTTGGAGCTGGAGATCTAAATTATACCTGAGGCTATATCTACATTACACTCGTGAAAGAGTAAATTAGCCTTCACTGAATTCTGTACCTATAGAATGGGAATGTCACAAATATTTTTTCTTGAAAAATTTTCTCTTGTATAATTGCATTTCATCTATCCAGTGGTTAGACATGAAGATGAGGTCTTACAGATACTGTACTGTGCCATGTATCCTAAAATCTCAGGATTCACATGCAATTCTTTGAGTCAGGTACAAGTGAAATAATTAGGATACTAGTGGACTTACCTTTATCTCTTTGAATACAAGGACTCCCCACATTGCAGCTATAAATCCAGGGCCCTAAAAGGTAAGGTTAGTTTTTATTCACATACAGCATTTTCTATAGTGGATTCTTTCTCAATGGCCTTTCCAGGATGACCATGTAACATTTAAATATTACCTGAACTGCCTGGATATATTGGCTGGATATATTCTTTAGATAGCAAACCTTACCTGAAGCATGAATACAGGATGAGATTTCATGGTCAACTGACTACTCCCTAGCTTCCCCAAAATTTCTGCAGCCCCCATGTCCCCATGGTGCTTGCACCTTGCTCTCTGCATGGGGCTGTGTGCTCACAGCTTCACCTTGTACCAGCGCTTGCCTACCCCTTGCTGAGAGCTCTGCAGGTACACTGGGTGCAGCTCTGCACTGAAGTAACCATGCAGAGGACAGCCAGCCTAAAGAAACCTCAGAAGCCTCAGAGTTAGGCAAGGCTGGTGACAAGTTGGGCTGGGCTCCAATGTTATACCAGGTAGTACGGGGGAACAGGGGCTTGAACAGCCTAGTTAGGAATCGGATTGGCTGCTCAGCAGCATAAGGGCAGCTCCCAGCCCTAGGGCTGCTGTGTGGTCCCTGCTGCCTCCCCTAACATCCCCTTTAGTTGTAGGACACAAACTGCAGGGAAGCTTCAGGCCCCACTGCCACTGTGGTTCTGGGTTCTGGTTCTCCCCAGTCAGTGGCTTGGACCTGTATGTGCTCCTTGGGAGCACTGTCCACAGTTGACCCCAAGCTCTGCACAGCTAGGAGCTGCCCCCAGAGCCAGGGACAACTCTCCCCTGCCACCCAGATCCCAGGCATGACCCCAGTGCTACCTGCCAGCTCAGGGCTGGTACCCAGGGGTGGGGGAGGTTGAAGCTCCTCCTACAGCTGTAGGGGGGCAGAGCAGGGCAGGCGCAGCCCTGGACTAGGTTGGTCCTGTCAGGCTCAATTTGCTCCAAACTTGGGTGCACATTTATATGTGCATCCACGAGCAATTTAATAAGCCTGAATTTACTGCACAGTAAATTTGAGTGCATTAATTACACATGTTGATGTACTCTAATAGTTGTAGAACTGTAGATGTGCCTAAAGGAGCAATTCATCTGGTTCAGGGCATCTGAGCTTCTGCAGTCTGTAGTGTCTTGATGAGGCTTGTGGGATGGAAATAAAGTTTTAACATTTGAAGGAACTTAAAGAAATAACTATTTATAGTAAAGCAACAGTCTTGCTACTGCCCTTACACATGTCTTGGGCTTAGCCCTGTCACTGTCATGTCATATCAGGAAGATCCTAACTCAGACTGTTTCTTGGGACATCACACTTCCTAGATATTCTGGGTTTTCAGGAAGAGTTATTCTGTTATGCAGTCAGCCATGACTCTGAAGAAATCTATTTTTCCTACATTTTGCTGTCCAAAAACATGGTGCACGCCTTATTTGGGGACATGTGGTATATGAGAAAATATGGTACTACCTCCCAAATGGGAAGTGGTATCACTAGCTTAGTGCATCGTACTGTGGGTGGACTAATTAGCTAATTAGTTCACATCACAGTATGTCACTATTTTGCACTGTGCAGAGTTGTCTGGGATAGTTCTATACATGCTAGTACTCCTGAAATGAAAGCAGTATAACCACATTAATATGGTGATATGCCCATAGCTCCCAGCAGAACTAATTAGCTTACCCTCAGAGACATGCTAGAGTGGCTATGTTACACGACTGCTGCTTCTGGTTAAACTATTTCTGGTTTGGGAGGTTCTACTGATCAGCTTGTGAGCTCATAGCTCGTACTAAGCAGAGGGTAAAATGTAAGCATTTCCAAAAGACTAAAGATGCATTATATGTACTGCCTTATACATGTACATAGGCAAATTTCTGCTCACCTCCTCACACAAATAGTACCTTTGTATTATTTTCATTGTTTATAATATCGTTTAAGTCTCACTTCGTGTACATAAAGGCCAACAGCAGAATTTATATCTTAATTCCAAGTTAATTCTTGAGACAGAAATGTCATAACTTGTGAGAAACCGAGAAAATATAACTGCCAAGATGAAATCATGTGACCCACAACCCAGTGTATATTGCATTCTCCATTCCAACCCCAAACAGCTGAGGGTTACAGCACGAGCAACACAGCCCGATTCTCTTATTCATTTGGTAGATCCTGAATTTGACTTTGGCCAAGATGGTATTCATCACAATTGCACATGTTCTTAAAAACATGGCAAGGCAAATGAAGACAAGCAGAAGAAGTAACAGTGTTTTGAGAAAAGTCTGCAGGCTGGGTATAACAGACACTCTGAAGCTGCAGCTTTCTCTGAAAAAAATGGAAAACCTGGCACAAAGAAAAATATTGTTTTTAGATACTTACAGCAGTAATTATTGGAAAGCTGACCACAGCACTGAGGTAGTGATTGGCTATGAACCAACAGCAATTGGCTATTGCCCAAAGTATACCAGACATAAATCCTAAAAACAATAAATCACAATCATAGAAAACTATGTCCAACAACACTTTAGGCTGTCTACCACAAGTTGTGAAAGATCAACCTAAGTATTAACAATGTAAAACAAGATTGAAATATTTTAGTATCTTTAAAACATTAACAAAATTTATTAGATTATTAAATCTCAACTCATAAGAAAGATTACCATCTCTGATGGAAATACCCAATTAATTCAGATTTATAATTTCTTGGGTGCTGATGTACTTTTCAATTTCCATCTTTTCTTAGTTTTGGCAAACTATCTACATTAACAAATCTCTGTATGGCACTTCACATTTCAAATTGGACCACTACTAATTACTTTCCCTTAATAAATATGCTCTTTCAAAAGAGTTCAAATGAACAAACTCCCAAGAGCTACCTAAAATCCCCCAAATATGGCTTGTACTAATTCTAGTAGAAGAGTTGAGGTGTTAAGAGAAAGTAAGTGAAATGAACAGCCACATAAAAAATAGTCATACCTGGTATTATAGCTTCAGGGTAAACTTTAGGTTTATTTTTCATGACTATACAGTAGATCAGAAAGTAGCTGGTACTTGTAAGGAAGATTCCACTAAAGTGTGCAAAGACATAGTCTAAATCTGAAACAGAAGTTGTAAAGGAAATGTCTAAGATCTTACTTTGGTTATTAAGAGTATTTTACTAAATTTATTCTATGACATATCAGGCATACTGTTCATAAGTATAAAATGCATTCATAGTAATAATCTGAAGTTTGCTCATGGCTGCATTGTCCACATGTAATACAAATATGGTTGCAAATATGGCTATAGTTGTAGTTAGTCCTACCTGTTTAAATTAAATATGGGGCTTCGGTGCATTGGCCATATTATCCACAAGTAGTTTTCTCACCAACACTTTCATGAATTTTTCTATGCACTTATGCTTTGAAACGTCTTACTTAAACCTCAATTCTCACCTCAGTTCTACAGCATTACCCACAAAAAGTCTTTCTCATGGCATCTAATATAATAGATTGTTACCTACAAAAATTCATAGCTCTCTGAACCAGTTAGTCTCTAAGGGTGCTTATATATGAGCAGTGAGGCTCCTTCAATGCACTGTAATTGCAGCGCGTTGGAGCAGACTCGGTTAATCGAGCCTGCTGGAGCGTAGCAATTACTGTGCTCCAGCAGCCTCCCATGCGTCATGTATCAGTGTCACTATGATTCAAAATGGCAGCAGGGGTGCTTTATCTAAAATTTGTTTGATGAGCTTTAAAGCACCCCCTCTGCCATTTTGAAGTGTGGGGACGCTGACATATGAGATGCTCTAGTTGCTTTAATAGAGTGCTCTTAAAGACACTGTAATTAAAGCACACAGCACCCCCCCCCGAACATGTGTATAAACGCCCTAAGATGCTACCCTGCCCTACTTTCTGCCTGATCAGACTAACATGGCTAACCACCATTCTACAAAAAAACTTTCTATCAGTTTAGAAGCTACTGAAATTTATGAAGGACTCAACTGAGTGAATCTGTAATCCAATGGCCTGCAGCCTATCTATATCCTTCCTCCTCCCTCTCCTGATGTATGCAATATGCAATTGTCTTGTCATTCACATGTTAAACTCTTTAGAATAGGGACCTGCTTTTTATGTATCAATAATGAAGTCTGTAGTGCACTTGTGGTCACTATAAAAATGAATGAACTCTTTATGGAGTGTGCTTGTGCAAGCACTGAAAAAAAGAAAATGTATGATATAGCATGGCAGACGCTGTAGCATGTTGGTGTGTTTCCTCATTCTGCCACAGATGGAAAAAAGGCAATGAAACAGTTGTCTAGTTTCTACTATATTATAAAGTGTTATATTCAGTAAGAGACAGATTGTATATGATGACAGTTGCAGGGTTTTGGTTAATCACTACTTCTCAGCAAACTGTATTATGGTTGCCAAATTTTCTGCAGTAATTTGGCAATCAGCTCAGTGAGAACTGTTGGAAACTCTTTGGATCTGGTTCTTTCTTTGAGCTTATAGTTTTTTGGTGGCTAGTTTGCTTCCAGAGAGCATTACAAGGGTATACTGCATCATCTCTCTACTCAGATACCTTAGAATAAATGAAATGCAAGTGAGATTTTTTCCCCTCTTCAAATAACTTCCCTTTGGAAGACAATTAGGAAACAGAGAGATGGCTAGAATACAATGGATAGATTGTAAAACATTGATTTCATTTAAATTCCTGAAAAAAGTGGGGTAGTGGAGGAATTGGAGGAAGTACTGGCTGTTTTATTCATTTGTTTATCTTGGAAGGAAATGTCTTCATGGTCTTTGATAACACAATCCTAAAATCACTTACTGTATTTTCACTTACTGTATCTCCTTATTTTTAACTATAATCACCAAACCTTTTGAATCAAGAATATGGATCCTTATGTTTCAGCCTAATGTCCCATTCCTGAAGTTATTCTGTGAGACCCTCTTCTTGTTTGCTCTGCCTTCCCAAACTTATGTACTCTACAGGCATATGTGATGTAACGAAGAGTACAGTAGCCAGTAGACAATACCAATGAGAAAAGACACACTGTTCACCTGACTGACAAGTAGTTTGGGATAAGTATGTGGTGAAGTCCATGCATATTGCGGAAGAGGACCACAAGATTACGAGATTGACAGTGGTGCAAGAAGACTGTGTGAACTATTGGAGATGGAAAAGAAAAAGCATATAGGACTGTTAAATGTGGTGAGATCGACTTGCAGGAGGTAGCTTTACCTGCCCCTTGAACTTGTTTCTAGTTTGACGGAGAACCACTGATATTTTTCAAGTATATAATTTGAAAGACTTACTAAAGTCAAGAGATACCACATCTAATTCTTTCCCCTTACTCACTAAAATAATTAAGTAACTATTGTTGATTTGATGCGATTTGTTCTTGAAAATTTTATTGCCTATTGTTTTTTATCACATCAGTTAAGGTGTTTTTTTTTCCTTTAAATCCTCCCCAGCCTCATACTTTTTTTGGTTACTTACATCCAGAAATAGTGGATATCAACATTACCATTTCGATTTAGCATTTTGCATTGATTTGCCCGGAAGTAAATGATTACTTATTAGGCAAGGGTTTGGAGAATCAGGGACAATGAGTCATTTATCACCATATATCACCAGAGGAAGAAGGCTTAAGAATCACCAAGTCTACTTCTCAGGCAACTAGGATATGCTGTTGTTACAAGGGGAAATGCAAAAAAAGCTTATTGGTCTTTACCGTATTGACTTGCTCCTGTGTATAGAGTTCCATTTCTTCTTCCATGGTCCTTGATATAAAGTACTGGCACAAAACTGGAACCATATAGTATTCCAGCTACTACTGCTAGGCTACAGCCTCTTAAACAGAAAAGGCAGAAAAAAGAAATCATTATTCATCAGTTTACTTAAGACTTATCCAGATTATAATGATACTGTGTAAAACATACTGCTAGATGGAAAGTGCTAAGAATGTTACAGAAATTACACTGTCCAGCACATTATTTTTTATAATATAATATAGTATTGCATGTATGCCCTAGCTAGGATCTGACTGAACTAGGTACTGTACTGTAATGTAGTGGGGGCTGGGGTGATATGGGCACTAAGGTACTCAGAGGTTGCAGGTTCAAGGCCATAGCAGAAGCACTCACAGCATGGCCTGTCAGATTCCAATGAATCTACAAATTCTGCTAAATACCTTGTTGCAAGGACACATAAAAGGAAAGGACAAGAATGTTGTAAAAAGACAGTTCTTGCCCTAAACAGCTTACAATTTAAGTTAAAGACAAGACACTATAGTGTACTAGGATGGCCTAATAACCCATTTGGGAAAATTTAGAAGGCAATGAAATTGTATCTTAAGTTATCTCTACTAGACAGTTCAGATCTTCTTTGCTATAACTAATATTGAGGAAAGTGAGAGAGGCTATTGAGCAAGTAGACCAATAATCACCTTATTCAAGTTAAAATTTATCTGAATACTAAGTTAAACTGCATTTTCACATCCATTGTAATATTTAAATATATAAATTCATGTTTTATATTTAAGCAACTTTAAGATGCCCCTGCCCATAACCATAACCAGAATGAAGAAAAGAAATGGTAACTACTTACATCATTCTTTTTCCCTTTGGAGAAAAATTGTCCACCCATGATGTATCAGAACTGGTGTTTACAGAATAGTTGATTGGCTGTGGACAACAGTAGCAATTTTTGTGTCATATGCTTTTAAAATAATTAAAACTGCTCCCCTATTTTACTGAAAAAATGAAAGTGTCTCACACTGTAGAAAAGGAAATTAAAACCTTCTCACAAAAGAGAAATGTGTTGGGAAATAAACCCAAACCAAAAAGACTGGACTATGATATGGAACGCTTCAAAATATAAAACTGCTTGACTGTGGGCTTGAACTCACCACATTGCAGAAAGAGAAACTAAAATACTGATCGGAATCAATTTTTGATTTCAAACTTGTCTTCCCTTAACTTTGGTGGATTCTTCAGTCTTGAGGTGTTAATTGATTTGTTTTCCTATTATGCTGCTGGCTGTGCATGTCCTTTGTCGTAAACCAGTTTTGCTTGCTTCCATTTTCTCACACATACACTGTATCCCTCTTGATAATACAAGTAGGTTGTATACCATTATCTGTTCTCTTTGTTTCACCCACAGATAATACTCGACTAAGGTTTTCCCTGACCTGGTGGACTCTAGTGGTTACTATGCTTTTCTAACTGTGGCCTCTACATCAGGCAAGCCAGCATGGGCAAGTGTTTGAAGCATGCAGTTCTCCAGCTACCTTTGCTTGCTTGCTCCGTCTATGTGAGATGCTGACTGCACAGTCGGTACTGTGCAGTCATTTAGTACTTGTACAAACAAGTACTAAATGACTGTGCAGTAACCCAAATTACTGCTCAGTAGCACCAATGAACATATTTTTTGTGACACTATTGTGCAGTAGCACTACTGCACAGTAGCCTAATAATACTACGTATTAGTGTCACATCACGGTTGTTGCCATGTTATACCACTATGTCGGCGTCTTGCATAGACACAGCCTTTCACCTCTAACCTTTAGTAAGGTCAGGATGGAGAATCAGAGAGCCATAGCTGCTTCTCTGCCCTGTGATGCAGGAGAATCTAGATTAAAAGTTATTCAGCATGTTTTCTTTAATCAAAATATTCTACATTTTACAGTTTGTTTTGGGCTTCAAAAACTGTACATAAAATTGTTTCCTTCTCAGACGCAGGGAGGATAAACTCTATTTCATATGAGCTCTGTCATAATGGTTTCTGAGCCATATAAAACAAGCCAGTCAAGAAAGGATTTTGGGAAAATCCTTTTCTGTTAAATCTTATTAATCTTACACTACCCATAACTTGATGTTTAGATACAAATTATCTGCTTGTATCTAATTTTTTTCCATTTCACCAGGAGCATTTATACATCTGGTAAATACTAAGAAACTACTTTTTCTACTGATATATGTTTTTACTGTATGTTTTGCTGTAGAATAAGTATAGAATACTTACTGCCTCATCCAATAAAGGCGTAGCTTCTGATGAAGCTAAAGAACTTGGAATTTCACTTTTTACAAAAAGAAATATGATCACACTGTAAAGAGGTAATACAATAGTAAATATCACACATCACTTTATAGGAGCATAATATTTAATACTGAAGGATAACAATGTAATGCCTTATCATTTTGTTCCTTATTTTGCTTAGAATTCAACTGTCAGGCTTCAATGTATCTTTGAAATGAATTCTTAGCTTAAAAATATTTAAACTACAGGAAAAAAATTGATCCAATGCACCTTTTATCAGAACATCATAGAGATCTTGTAGTTATCTTGTATCATGAGAAAGGTATTGAAGTGTCATTGTTCTGACATGCTTTTCCAAAGGCAATTGACATTACACAACAATTTATTTTCAGACTGTAACAGATATGTTCTAGGATATCCAAGGGGAAATTCTACAGCAGCCCAACTTGAAGGGAAAAATAAGCTGCAAATTAATGAGACTCTCTTTACATTTTTCTAGAATTAGTGCTGGTATTGAAAATGTTTTTAATGCTCCTTTTATTCATAGTTTCTGAATAAGACACTCAGCAGTTCACTGCACTGAGCTTGATCCAAGATATGATCTGAGAATGAGAGTTTCATGCCCCTTCCCTTAAGGAGGGTTCTGATTTTTATTTATGTTTTTACTCATTTTTCAACTGATTATGGTAGGCCTCTCTTAGAAGGCCTGGTTCTATGATAGGTAGAAATAGCAATTATATGACCTACACATTTACTTTTCAAGTTAATCAGGAAAATATGAATAGTCAGGATTGGCAGGGTTTGATTTTTCTATTTTGATTTTGTTTGGTTTAATTCTAAGCCTATGGACTGCTTCTTGCAGGTCCTTGAAAGGAGGGTCCTCTTCATGGCTCTTCACCTACCATTAAGAATAAGCAGGAATATAAGGAGCAAAAATCTAACTTCTTTCACAGACAAACACACACAGTTCTCCCTGCAGCCCCATTAAACTAAGATGAAATGTTCAGATTATGAGTTCTAAAGAGCAGAGGTCATCCCTTCCTAAGTATTTGTAAAGTGATTTGCCCATAGTCAAACCTTCCATAAAAAAGTGTAGAGGCCCTTCTGGTGCACCCTGGATAATGGAATAGTAGGGGAATCCCTGGCAATGAGGCTTCAGAGCTATGGTGTTGGGAATTGGGGAACTTGTAGGGCAAGAGATACTGTGGCTTCCAGTAGATTCTGCAGGCCTTGGACCTACTCTTTGCCAAGGGTAGAAAGGAGATAAACTTCACAGTTCTGGATCAATGTGAGATGAAATCCATGAAAGATTTCTTTATTTTTTCTTTATAGATTTCCTCCCCTAGCTTTTTCTATGGAGTTTTACCATACAATAATTTCCACGGTAAAAAAATTCGAGCCAAGCAAATCATTTTGGAAATGTAACTGAAACTACTCTGTCTACATTTGCTATTGAAGGTGATATTTAACATTGGATTAAAAAATGTGCTGTTCCATTTATGAAGACCGGTTTAGCCATTATTTCAGAATTAGCATGCATCTAATTCTGAAAATATACCTTTGAAACACTGGGTATTGTCATATTGAATGAAATAGTTTGAATGTTTGTAAAGGTTGCCCATTAGCCAGTTTCAGGAAGAAGATAGGATTTATCTCCTTATCTAGCTCATTGTTTCGGAGCTACGTGCGAAATGTCTTGACTTCACTTAAAGTCTTAATTTAAATTGTATCTTTAGAAGTTTTTTACAAAGAAAGCAAATATCCAAATTCCAAGACATCAAAGCCTAAGGCCTTTTAACCAGACTGGTAAAAAAAAAAAGAAAAAGGTATTTACAGTGATATGGAAGAAGTCTCCCTAAGAATAATTTAAAAATGCTCAACAAAGGTAATTTCTGTTGAGTAAGATCCGAGCCCAAATTTGGGAGGTATGATAAGTTGAGTAGGAGGAGCCCAATGACGGCAGCTCACTCAATAAAAACCTGTAACCTACTGTCCCAATTTGGAGGTGACTTCACTTGCAGCACAACGAAGGAAGAATCGCAAGTGTAAACTCGGATTAGATTGATCACCTAATTCAACCTCTCCGTAAACACGAATCTCTTAGTTCACGCTGAAGCCGCGGAGTGCCCGAAAGGGACTGAAGGAAGGGGACGCAGTCCTATCACTGGTGAGCCCAGCTCATTGAATCGTATTGCTGAGGCCAGCCTATTGAACCGTACTACTGAGGCCAACCCATTAAATCGTACTACTGAGGAATGAAACTATATTTTGGTATTTGGCTTCTCGGAATTCTAGGATTGTAAGTATATTATGAAAAATAATAGTATTGATTCAAATTTAACTTTTAGTTGTAATTGTAGTTGTTTTTGTAACACTAATTCTTATAGCATTGTTTGGGAAGGAAGTGCATTCGGAGCATTGTTTCTATGTAATTATTGTGTTTTTAATGTTTGTGGTGTTTCTTAAAGCTAAGCAGTGTTATATACGTAGCAAAGAGTTTTAAAATAAAATTGTGTTGTATAAATTAAGTGTGTAATCACTGTGAAATCGTGCAATCAGCTAACTACTCCCCCAGCCAGTGCATCAAAACGAATCAGTAAATTGTGTGGGATTTTCTCTATTCCATAACCCACTAGAGACAGGTATGGCAAGTCATGAATTATGGTTCAATTAAACTGTATTTAGAAAAATATATTAAACTCACCCATTTTCACTGTTTTTAAATCTACACCTTAGTGATTAAATCAATGATCTTTTAAATTACAGAACTTATTCATTATTAGGAAGAATATTTTACCTTAACAAAGAAAGTGTAGCTCCAATGTAATTTAAGGTGGGTTTTGATACCTCTTCTGGATCAATTCCGAACCAACCGAACCTGTAATATTTAACTAATTTAATTTGACTGTACTGGTTTTACAAATACATTTTCATTAAGAGCTAATCTTGAAGATCCTTATTCATGAAAGTGATTCCTTTGAAGTCCAGACTACAGCCATTGTTTTATACTAAGTGAAATCTTACAGGAAGATATGTACACCTAAATGCCCAGGCTGAAAAAAAAAATCTATGCATATACCACTATGAAGAATACTAATGAAATATGGACAGCATTTTACATGCACATGGAAAAACGTTCATTGAGGACACAAATAAGTCACATAAGGTAAAGAAAACTGAATTTACAGAGCCTCAGCTACTCTGGGGTCGCAGTCATGTGCATGCTCTTGGCCCAAGGTAAATGTGGAGTAGTTTGTGCCTCAGTGAAAGTAAGGTAAAGCACACACAGGTAGTTTCAGTAGAGTAGCTATGCACTGTATGTTCTCACCCTACAACTACAGTAACTTGCTTGTATGCCTATACTCTCAATCAGCTGAGTGAGCAAATGTGATCCAGTAATAATGCATTTATACACACACACACACACACACACACACACACACACACACACACACACACACACACACATTCATAACATGTTTTCATTAGAGTTGTTATTGAAGAACTGATAGCATTTATAGGGTATAACGTAAGATTTAAATATAGTTACCTTGAACTTGCCCAGCCAGTTAGCAAATTAAAAGAAGCCCAGATTAAGAGCCCAAGACCTAAGCCAATGGTTTTAAGAATGGGGACAACAGTAATATTACCTGCAATACAGCAAACATAATCCAAATTATGTTATTATAATGATAAATCCTAATCGTATTTTCACTTTGCATTTCAATATGATTTATAAGGCCAGATGATTTGAACAAGATCAGAGTCTAAATATAATATGTAGGACTATTTTTAAACTTTCTACCCATACTCACACATTTCCATTTTTCTTCATCTACAGTTGTGAATGTCATATAGAATGGTTTTGTGAAGTTCACTGAGTCTCGTGCTAGCAGTGAAGCCACTAACAGAGTGAAGAACACTACTAATGGAGTTATTTCTGCTCCACAGAGAGAGAATTTTAGTCTATGCAATGCCACTCATTTTTAGCTGTAGCCCAGTTCAGGGGCCTTTTAAAGTTTTAAATTATTTTTCTCAGATCAACTAAATTAAAACATCCAAGACTGTCTCTGACTATTCACTGGATAATTCATGACTCCTTTCTTGTATGTGTCTTTAAGGTTTAATTTATGTCAATCCAATTTGAGAAGAATCCACAAATTAGGAAAAAGCTCAGTGCTTATCACCCAGCAGGTTCCACCGTGATCAGAGGGAAGGGCTGGATGTTCAACACTTGAAAATCAGGTAACTAGTTCAAAAGCTTACTTTAGAGGTACATTTTGGTAAAAACTTGGCCAATATAGTTCCAGTATCTATTTAAGATAGATTTATAATAGATCTAGAAATATCTTTTAAATAGATATAGAAATACAAGTGTCTGTAGCACCATCTGTTTTTTCCAGTCATTATCAAAATCTGATGTTTTGGTATTGGTTTACAAGGGAAGCTGTGTAGGACCAATGTTACTTAATATTAATGATGTAATTATATAATATTTTGTTCATGGTAATACATACAGCAATAGCAGGGTTCTGTCAGTTTTTTGGAATAACAAAAGATACACTTTGTATATTAACTACTTCAGTATTGTTATTGTCTCTTCTGGGAAGACAGTTTTGTCACATCTTTGAAGAAGTAGCATCTCTTCTTTATTACCTGTAGCCCATACAAAACCCCCAAGCATAGCCAGAGGCCAGAACTGGGGACATTTTTGGATAAGGTTGACCACCAAAGAAACTATCCATATTGCTGCACAGAGAATCCACTGGAAGAACATTCCTGGGAAGCAAACAAATTAATTTGTTAATATTTTACAGGAAATAGTTAGATGTCAGATTACTTTTAGATTAATGTATGTAGGAGCTAGTTGTTAACATACTATATCTCATATGAAATTGTGCAGACAGAACTGAAATCTGGTCATAGCCTTTTTGTAAGGTAACTGTTAAATTCTTTTTAAAAAGGTTGTACTTTGGGACATTTATTTTTGGCTTCTCATATGCCCTGTAGAGAAGCAGCCAAAGGCAATTTTTTGTTAAGGTTATTACAGGTATATGTGAGCTCTGCTTGGATCCTGAAGAAGATAGAGCTCCCCCCACTTCTGTTAGTAGCTATCACTGACTTGGTTCCAGTGCAAGAAAGGACAACTTTAAGGTTGCCTTAACTGGCAGTGTATGGGACACACCTCTTCAGGCTTTTTCAGTAACATATTTGCTAGCTTTCAGGACAGACTTTATAGAATCATAGAAAATAAGGGTTGGAAGGGACCTCAGGAGGTCATCTAGTCCAACCACCTGCTCAAAGCAGAACCATCACCAACTAGATCATCCCAGCCAAACTTTGTCTAGTCAGGTTTTGAAAACCTCCAAGGGTGGAGCTTTCCCCACCACTCTGGGTAGCCTGTTCCAGTGTTTCACTACTCTCCTAGTGAGAAAATTCTTTCTAATATCTAACCTAAACTTCCCTTGTTGCAATTTGACACCTATTCTATTACCTTGGCTCCTTGTTCTGTCATCTGCCACCACTAAGAACAGTTTAGAACCATCCTTTTGAACCCTCCTTCACATAGTTGAAGGTTGCTGTTAAGTCACCCCTCAGTCTTCACTTCTCTAAACTAAATAAGACCAGTTCCCTCAGTCTTTCCTCATAAGTCCTGTCCCCCCCCTCTATGCCATCTTCCAGGTCATTGATGAAGACATTGAACAAAACTGGCCCCAGGATTGATCCCTGGGGCACTCCACTTGATACCGTCTACCAACTAGACATCGAGTCATTGATTACTACTCTCTGAGCCCTATGCCCCAGCCAGTTTTCTATCCACCTTACAGTCTGTTCATCCAACCCATATTTCCTTAGCTTGCCTGCAAGAATGTTGTGGGATTCACCACAATCCACACCACATCCACCAGTCTCCCCACATCCACAGAGCCAGTCATCTCATCACAGATGGTAATCGGGTTGGACAGGCATGACTTGCCCCC